ATTTTGCTTAAAGACAACTCCCTAAAACTTTCTAAACCCTTAAATAACAGACATATTTGTTAATAATTGAGATTTACAAACTTTTCAAATTGTCGCGACAGCATTTTGACCCGACCCATAATTTTAAACTTCGTGAAACAAAATTTGTGTCAACAATTACTTATAAAGAAACGGCCCAGCCGATCATTAGCAAAAAGCCGATTAGGCACAATTCACAAATGATACCTCTGGAACGGTTTTCAAATTTTCAAAATCATAGATGCATTTCCCATTTTGACCGTATCAGAAAACATTAAAATGCTGTATTCATATCCATCGCTAAATTTTCAAATACCAGGAGCAAGTTATAGAAAAAACAACTATTGATTTACTATAAGGGCTCTCATTGAAGAGTTTCCTAAACAAGCCATATTTGATATTTGCGAACTCAGTTTTGAGTTCAAATACACCTCAATAGCTTCTAGAACAATAAGTAATAAAAAAAATCAAAATCCGTTCAGAGATTTCGCCTGAACATGAACGAAAAATTTTGCACTTTTTTGCTAATTCTACAGAAACGGCTGGATTGATCGTCCCAAAAAAAATCGACTCGTGTTTTCCTCAAGTTTTATCGAATGATTTCCAATCTAAGTTAAAATTTGGTATGGATGCAGCAATTTATGAAAAAACGTGAACAGAAAGGGAAAATTAGCTTACAAATACACATACACAAACTTCTTCCAATTTTGGTCTCAAACAATTGAGAATGACTTGAAACGTCAAGAAAACATAAAGTTAGATAATCAAATTAAAGTTCAACTTCTCCTTCAAAAAGTTAACGACATGAAGTTCAATTAAGAAGTAGGTAGCACGAAACAGGTATCCGAACAAAAAGTAAACAAAAGAGTATTTTTATTTTAAAGAAAAATGTTATTTGTTACATCGCTGCTTATTCCAATAGCACAGAAAAGTGATTTTCTATTTCTACTAACTTTAGATATAATATTATAAAAAAAATGTCATACCTCTTTTATTTTTCTGTCACTTAACCATGGATACTAGTGTCAAAAGATGCCAAATTAATTAGTGCAATTATCCCTTTGAGCTCTCCGTCTATTGCAATATATTTTCTGGAAAAGTTGCACAAACCACCAACACACAATATGGTTTCTTGTGAACGTTTAAAATATTAACACGCCGCTCATAAACGTTCCGCGAATAGCACTTATGTTCATGTTAAACTCGCCATAATTCAACTGTCGCGATGTGATATTTATAAACACAATGAGAATCAAACACAAGGGCCGCTGTCTGCGTTGACAACGCGGCCCAAATAAAATTAAAACGATATAAAATAAATAAAACTAACCGGCACAAAAAATAACGATATCAAAACCAAAAACCGACGACGTCTACGGTTAATATCAATCAAATGTCAAATCACAGATGCTAAGATTTTTTGCCATTTTGACGCTAGATGTTGCTAGTGTTGGTATGGAAGTGATTAAAGTGAAGTATATACATTATTCTTAAGGTTGGATTCCTGGAATATACTTTTTAAAACAGATGATACTTCAGATAACAACGGCCATGTTTAAATTTACTTCAACAAAACAATTATAAATATTAGACAAAACATGTACATATTAATTGATAAGTTTAATTAAGTAGTTTATTAATTTGCTTGTGTTTGATCTACATATATAATCAAATAATAAACAATAAAGAGTGGCAATTACATCCAATGATGCTATTCTGGGCAATGCTGATAGTGCAAAATGACAAAAATACACAACGTCAAGAAAACGTAATATTAGCAAGTTGGATGAGTTGGATATTATGGTAAACATCTACTTCGGAAGTTAACTAAGGCTGTTGATTGTCTTACAAATTGAATAACTAGATCTGGTAAGTATAGCTAATAACTTACTCTTTAACACAACTGACATATCATATTCAAAAATAACACCATATACACCATATATAACAATAGTAGTATCTATTCACATACACTACCCTGCAAAAGTTTGGACTCACTTAGGAAATACTCTTCTTTTATCTATGGGAAAATCATTGTCTTTTTTATTCACCATTCTCAGACAGTTTAATGTAACAGATTCGATGAGAATCACATTCAATTTACGAGCTAAAAACATTTACATGTGATATAATCCAGCCGTTTTTCATTTTTATCATGTTTTCTATATGTTGGCCTTTCGATTTGAAGTCATTGGCGCGCATTTTCAAATGATGATGCGTCGAGTAAAAGTTAATTTAAGTTCAAAAAAATAGTTAATGTAATTCAAAGTGATAATTGTCACATTGTACATTTTACAATATTTCGAAAATTAACATATTTCTATACAATAAATAAATGAGAATTTAAAGGAAACGCTCAAAAATCATTCTTAAAATGTTGTTCTATATCAATACGTACATTAAACTGTCTGAGGGAAACGATAAATAAAGTAATGAATAAAAAAGACAATGATTTTCCTAAGTAAGTCTAACCTTTTGCAGAGTAGTGTAACACATCACATAACCATAAGCATTTAATTCTTCACTTAAATGATGGTTTGAAGTTTAATCTAATCATGTCTAGATATGCAGAATATCATCATTATAAAATCAAGTTAATCATAAATTGTTTAATATATTTCTAGAACAAACTCAACAATAATAACTGTTAAGTGGTGGTATTTGCAGCTATAAGGAAAATTGCATGAACCCGGTTTGTGTATATAATTGACCTAATCAATAAGAAATCAATATATTAATTTATGAGTAATTTAGAAGTATGTCGAGTTGCTGTAAAAATTCATAATATTTAATACATACTCGGAATATTTACTAAAAGCACTGAAATTACAAATTGAAATTTCAAAATATTTTTATATTTAAACCATACTAAATTTAATATTTTAGTATGTTCATTAACACCATACTAAATTTAATATTTTAGTATGTTCATTAACACCAGGTACTTTATCGCCATACAAAGATTCATTAAAATCGCCGATTTTTTTTAACAATCAATTACAAAGAAACGGCCTGGTGGATCTTTATCCATAACCAAACAGCATGATTTCCAAATGATATTCTGCGAATAGTTTTTAAATTTTTAAAATCGATTCAGGATTTTAGGATAAACCTAAACGAAAAATGTTGCACTTTTTTAACAATTCTAAAGAAACGGCTCATCCGACCGGGGGTTTGACAAAAAATGATAAAATATCACGTGGGGGAGGAAGGGGTATAGTAAGATATCACGTGTATTTATTTTTAACTGACTTTTTCAAAAGCTTCAACAAAATTCAAACGCTTAAAAAAAAACAAAAATTTTACAGTTTTATCACGTAACTAAAAATACACGTAATATTTGGCGGGGGAGAGGGAGTAATTTTGAATATCATCACGTATCACCAAAAGGGAGCTGAGGTGCAAAAATCCTTAAAGACTCGCTCACGTGATTAATGGACGCCCGCTAATGTGTAATGACTTTGTATGTTGAATACGAACATAGCGATTGCTGCCTGGTGTTAATTGGTGTTTATTAAATGTATGTAAGTTTGAAGTAATATCAGTGTTGTTTTATTAGTTAAATAACAAGTTAGCTTAAATAATAAAATATTGAATTTTGGTTAACAAAAACACCCACATGGCACACACTCCCACATGCGTTCTACTGCTAACTCTTACCTCTTGAGATGTGCCGCACTCCACAACTCGACGTTGAAAGTTTTGAAAATTCTGGTCATAATTCTTAGAATAATTTTCATGGTGGTTTCTCAAAAACTTCTGCGGTTTTTTTGCTCGGTTTATGGATGTCTAGTATATAGTCGTAAAAAAGGGCACGTAGTACATGTGTCGCATATGGTTTTGTAAAACATTGCCACATCTTTTAATTATTCAAAAGCATTGAAGAGTCATTTAGTATGCCCTGATAAATAGTTTTCTTGATTATCAAAATTGATTGATATTCATAAAAAACAAAGTTTTAAATAAACATATAAATTATATTTTAAGTCATTCAAATAATAATACAGATTTTAATACTAATTAAATCGATTCATGAATACACGTTTTGAATTCATTATTGTATTACTTTCATGAGATTTTAAATTATATCGTATTTCATACATAAGTTATTACTACATGCAATCATTTATATAATTCACTTAAGGCACTGAATTAAGACACTAGTTATTGATAACATCACATTAATTTTAATTACATAAATAATAAAAATAGAATAAACTAATTTTACTTACATCAGAATGGACAATTATTTCATTCTTTGACACCTATTATAATAATTAATATAACACAAGTTTTAGTCTTTGTAGCAAGTCATATCTTATAATCTAGATATACATCACATTTCAAAGATAAACTAAAATTACATTCATTGGAAAATGGAAATTGTGATAAAACCATTGGTGATATAGATGCATTATTTCACTATTTCCACTACTGTAGGCAAATGATTGAAATTAAGAGTTTAAAATAATATTGATTATGAATTGTAAGGTACTATATATATTGTACATAAAATGATAAAAATTTATGATAGTTTGGATAGGCATGATAAAGATATCAAATGAAACTTTCATGTAAGCCATATTTCGAGCAGTTAAATTTATAAAAACAAATAAATAACTATAAAATCAACATACCAAATCAATAGTTATAAGGACAAAAATAAGAATCGCGAAGGTCGGTCTTAGCGAATATCATATTGAAATCAAGTTTGATATATTCTAATTAAAATTTCACTTTTTTTTAGTAAAACTAGATATAATTTGCATTAAAACAAGAATAACTGAACCAAGTTTAAATATTGTTTGCAAAACAAGTCACACTTTAAAAGTGCCATAAAGTCACAAAACTACCTTTTTCACAACCAAAACAGATTTTCATCTAGGCACATAATTTTAATGACAAATTTGGCTTGTCTACCTTTTCAATACGTGAAATAAAGATTTTATCATGGTTGTGTATGTAATTCAAACTGTCTTTACTATTAAATATAGTTTTGAGGCTATTTCAATCATTACTAAATTACACTGATATTCATGATGTGTTTGAATGAAGATTTTAAATGAAATATTCACCAAATTAAAATTAAACTCAATCACATAATTTCCTCTTTTCCGTATAGAGAATTATGATGATGATGCTGGAAACCACTCGCTGTCTGCAGATACATATAATAATTGTACTGCCCAGGACTGGTGGGTGCGGTTTGGGTCTCTGCAAAACCCACCTGCCCATTCTGCCCTGGTCTAAACCCTGCCGCCATCGCTTGCTGATGCACGTTGGCCAAAATATCCTGCACGGAATGACCTGACGGCCAACATGCGGCTAATGGATTAGGGGTTGTTCCTGGTTGACTAGGCGTCTGATTTAGACCAGGTTTGTGGTGGCTGTGAGGTTGGTGATGGTGATGGTGGTAAGCATATCCTGGATACAGGGATGTGTATAGATGGGCTGCATGGGGATTCGAACTCTGTGCACTCGTAGGGCTCGGGCCAATTTTGTTTCGCAATATGCGAGATATTGAACTCACGGAAGGCACATTGTATTTGTCACAGACACCGTCGACCTATATTAAAGGAATTAAATTTATTAAGGTTTATTTATTATAGCATTAAGGAAATATCACAAATGAAATCCTCTTACATTTAACTCTTTGGGGACGGCTGTCCAACTGAGTGGAAAAACATTCTCTGTGAGGCACATGCTATTTTATAAACAATGACTCAGTTTGCGTCAAAAAGTTGAATACATTACATATAGCAGTGATAAACAGTGTTGTATTTTGAAAATAATTTTAAGTTTTTTTCATTAGTATTTTTAGCCTTTTTCTTTGCTATATAGTCTATTTTTTAATATTTAAAACGACCGAGCGCTTTTAAATATTTTAAATATAGATTGGTAAATTTTGTGAATTAAGCAGTAGTGAAGATGAGTTTGAAATAGACATCCATACAGACAAATTTTACGAAATTGCTATTTGCACCGAAGATAGTGATGAATGTGATGATGATATTATCCAACCAACAAAAAGAAGAAGTTCGACAAATTAAAGCGGAAAGACATTAGCGAATGTGCCGATTTTCCTTCAATAATCGAGTTTGACATACATCAACAAACACCCCGACTACAAATACAAAGCAATATAAGACATCCAATAGATTATTTTACTTTATATTTTACAAATAAATTATTAGACAATATAATAGAAAAAACAAACCATTATGGCAACAAAAAGTGAACAAATATACTTACTAATCAGTGGCATATTCTAAATGCGAGAGAAAGAAGAAAGGATTGTATTGTCTGTTCTGACAGAAAAGCATTAGGTGGAAGGCGGCGAACAACATTTTATTGTAAAACAGGTGAAAATCAACCAGCTATGCATTTTGGAAATTGTTTTGAATGTCAACATTCTTTATAAAACGATCAAAAATAAATTAATATTATAAATGTATGTCCTTCAATGACTACAACATACACAATGAAATCAAGTTTACAACCAGTACAGTAGATTGTTTTGAAATCGGTGCCGTCCCGTAAGTGTTAAATCAATAGCACTCAATACTTTATATTATATCGATCTAAGATTTGGTAAAATTTGATGTTATTAGTAATAAATCATATCTCACCATCAATTTATCTCTAATTTCCCAAGCAAAAATCCCTGGATCTTTCAATTTCAACTGTTTAATATATGCCACAACCTTAGGCGTCGTAACTCTAGGCTTGGAACCGCCTATGGCCCCCGGGAGGATGCTTCCCGTCTCGTGATACCTGGCCAATATCTTGCTGACGCAGCCGTGGCTCACTCTCAATTGCCTCGAAATGTCGCAGGGCCTGATGCCAAGTTGGGCCAATTCAACGATTCGCATCCGAACGCCGTTCGGCAAAGGTCGGCCGTTTACAAATACGCCGCCCAATTGGTTGACTTCACCATACTGCTGCTGCTGTTGTTGTTGCTGCTGCTGGTGCAACTGCTGGTGACCGTGAGGTTGCGATACTATATCTGTGGGAAAAATGAAAAAGTATTTCACATACTTGAAAACTTATAAAAATTCATGGCACGTTATCGACACGATTTTAAATATAAATGACATATTTATAAACAAGGCTTTACAAATTATAGTTTTTTTAGAATATATAATTTACTGTTATATTAACTTCCCGTAGGGTAAGCTATAGCAATCGTCCAAAATTCGAAAATGTAATCTTTTGCATATCTTCACGTTTCAAAGGATTGAGAACATTTTGATATAATTAAATAAATTTAATAAAATCATTAGATTTAATAATTGTACTAATTATGACAAAAATGTAAGTAAAATCCATTTATTAACTTCCCGTAAGGTAAGTTATTGACATCGTCCAAAAATCAAAATTGAAAATTTTTACATTTCGTCACATTTTGAAAGTTTCTGAAAATTTTGGCATACCTCAGAAAAAAAGGATGTGTGTGTGTGTATGTGTGGATACAAATTTTCGGCCACGTTTTCGGGCGCACGGATCAACCGATTTGAATGGTTCAAAAAACATTCGATTTCTATTGATAGGAAGATGTGTTGATTAGTTTTTGGCAATGGCAGGCCCAACCGTTTCGGAGATACAGAACAAAGAATGCAGAAAATAGAAATCGAGTTTTTGAGAGATCGGAGCATCGGATTTGAATGATACAAAAAACATTAGATTCTAAATGACGGGGAGAAGTGGTGATTAGTTTTTGGCAAAGGCAGGACCAGCGGTTTCGGGGATCCAGCTAAATGTGCAAAAAATGCCAGTTTTTGAGAGAACTAAGCTAACTAAGCCCAATGTGAATGATTTAAAGAACTTTCTGCTTGTTTTAACAAAATAATTGCTTTTGGAAAAAAATATTTCAATTTTTTTTTTCAAAAAATATTTTTTTGTATATCGAAAATAATTCAGATTTTAATTCTAATTCTGACTAAGTTCTAATATACTTTAAACAAATATTTTCAACTTTGCAATTCAGTTTATATAATTATTATAAATATTACACAATGTTACAGTACTTATTTATAATAATCTATTTGAAAACATTTAATATTCTCGAACATTTTGTTACGGTACGGGAAGTTCCAGCAATTTGCCTTAAGGCACGATGCCATACACACCACTAGTTTCATAATAAAATTATACGTAATGTTAAATGCATTGACAGTAATAGTCAATTATTTCTTTGCACAAACACATAATATTATCAAATAAATGTTGTACAGAAAAAATATAAACACAACAGTTGACAAAAATATATATGTCTGATAAGTTAATTCACAATTTTAAATTTATAATATTTACTTTTGTATGAGTATTAATACATATGTATCAGCATTAATTATTTGAGTCTATCTGATATTGTAGAGTTCAGTTTCAAAGGTTATCGTTTGTAGTCACTCATTTGGAACAGGCGATCTCTTGTCTTCAAAAAAAAAAAATGATTCAATCCTAACGACTCGCTTCGGATAGAATTCTTGGGACAAAAACTTACACAGGACCGTGATTCGGTAAATTTTATAATAATATTATGGTTAAGATAATTCGAAGAATAAAGTGAACATAATGCTTTATATTCTAAGCTTAAAAATTTGAAAAGCATACAATAAATTGAAGTAAAAAAATGAGTTATTGAATCTTTTGGATGAAAAATTTCAACCAACAAATCAAACTCACTAATCAGTTAGCTGGTGAATTTCACCAGGATTCAACATTATAAAAAATGGAGTCGAAATTATAAAAATTCAGAAGTATAATAAATTTGAAGTGTGTAAATTTAAAAGTAAAATGTAGAAAATTTTGATAAATTGGAATAAGTTTTAGGCTTCATCAACTGCGAACTTATATAATATGCGAATAAAGGCGTATACTTCGATATATATACGATAGATATAAAAATTGCAACTGCCAAAACACCGTGATTCGAAAATTGATATTGTCAAATCACTGGAAATGAGGAATTATAGCCAAGAGCACAAAGAAATTAAATTGGTTGTGTATGGCATCGTGCCTTAAGGCAAATTGCTAGAACTTCGCGCGCCGTAACGGAATGTCCGAGAAATATTAAATGTTTTTAGATAGATTATTATAAATACTGTAACATTGTCTAAACGACTGAACCTGCATTTGTCAAAATCTAATCACCACTTCTCCCCGTCATTGCGAATTGAATGTTTTTTAGATCATTCAAATCGGATGCTCCTTACTTACAAAAACTCGATTTCTATTTTTTTACACTCTTTGATCCGTATCTCCGAAACGGCTGGACCTGCCCATGTCAAAAACTAATCAGCACCTCTCAATATTAATAGGCATCGAATGTTTTTTGTACCATTCAAATCGGTTGGTCCGTGCGCTCGAAAACGTGGACAAAAAATTGTATCCATACATTCATACATACATACACACACACACATTCATTTTTTCTGAGATATGCAAAAATGTTCAGAAACCTTCAAAACGTGAGAAAATGTAAAAATTTTCAATTTTGATTTTTGGACGATTACAATAACTTACCCCACGGGAAGTTAAAAATTTCTTAACAAAACTTTTAAACTTTCCTTGGGATAAATTATAGTTACCGCAAAAAAATCGAAAATGAATTTTTTTCCATATCTTTACGTTTCAAAGTCTTCCGAACATTTGGACATATCTTAGAGAAAATGGAAGTATGTGTGTGTGCTGTGGGCGGATACAATTTTTCGTGAACGATTTTGAGAAAACGGATTAATAAATATAGATAAATTGAATGATTCAAACAACATTAGTTTTTAGCAAAAGCAGATCCAGCTATTTCGAAGTAACGGGGCAAAAAGTATCAAAAATGACAAATCGGTTTTGAGAGAACAAAGCAGCCGATTTAAATGATTCGAAAATATTTTGAAAAATTGACTGAATTACGAAGGCAGGCCCAGAGGTTTCGTAGAAATAGAGCAAAAAGTTAAAAAAATGGCATTTCGCGGTCAAAGATGACCAGTATACTGAAGAGATACATTGCTTGAAATTATCAGATCTTTTATATAAATTTTATAAATGAGTACAATTTTTGTTGAAATTTCTATAGGTTCCGCACCAAGATTTATAATGATTAACCTTTAGACGCGTTTACGCGTTTCGATATTTGCCTTTAAAACAATCACGCAGCACGATTACTTTGAATAAAAAATTTAAAAAAAATGAAATACAAAAAAGAAGTTCAAATATTTCAAAAAAGGCAATTTTTTTCTAAAATTTCAATATTCTCAAAAATCTTTTTAAAATAAACTAATTTTTGATACTGGAAGTTTCAGCAATTTGCCGTTAGGCACGATGATGTACAGCTATTTAGGTTAAAACTGATCTGATATAAATCCAATGTTTTCAGGGAAAAAACTTGTCATGGTGGTAAAGCAAATAAATAGTAATGACTAGCTGTCCTGGATTGTGCCAATTGTAATAGGTCGGAAAAGTTAGATTTGCTAGTGTATTGCCACACGTACGGCCAAATTGAATTATGTTGAAAATCTAGTAATTGCTAATGTATCTAAATCTTTGTCACAATAAAATAAGCAATTATTTAAAAAGGCGTATTTATGATTGACATAATATAATACATAGTGCGATGTTTTATCATCCTTCGCCCAATTTTTTGCTTAAGACGCTTTTTAATAGGGTTTTACCATATGTATATTTTCCGGTTCTGTAAAACGTGCAAACTCTTTCTAAAATTAGGTCCTTCAATATCGCTCCTGCCGACCGCCAAAATATTTCAAAGAATTTGATGAAATACAAGACAATTATTGGAAATATATCAGTTACTAAATGTACCAAGAACTATTAATCTGTCCTTTGTTGTGCCTAAAAGATCCTCCTCTTTATCTGACACGAGATTAAATTCCATAATTATCTGGAGAGAGGTCACCGCGCCCGATTACTATGCGTTCAATCCGTGACCAATTCATTCATGTTTATTTTTCTAGTTTCTAGTTCAACGCTTCCGATAACGAATTATTGTAATACATCACAATTGCATCATACACAGTGAATTAGATTAATGTTAATTATGCAACGTTAAATTTAATTTAATTTAGATATTCTGATTTTTTTTACTAGAACACATAGCATTCTGTACCCTGTGATGAGCATCTGTAATTTTTATTGCATATTTATAATATTTATGTATTAATAGAAAATGTTCGAATTTATTTATTACCTTTACATTACATATTTTATATTCATAAATATTATAAACATCATATATAGAGTAGAGCGGGTATAAAAGATCTGCGGAAAAAAAGGGTCAACATAATTATTTCAAACACAAAGTATAACATTCTTTAACGATACTATTTTAAAGTAGAGCGCAAAGGATGTATAAGCAGCAATCACCTTGAATCGAGCGACTTTGTAATCAGTAGATAAACAAACGGCCACACCGAAAAATTTCTATCAAAAGTTTTTTTTCGTTGTCAGTCTTTTTGTTTTTAAACACTGTGGCTTATCTTTAGTTTACGATACCCGAATAAAATGTTTAAGCATTCATTATTTAATTGTTCTATAAGATGTATTTTTATGTAACCTCTAGAATAGCTTACAGGTGGTTAGGGTAAAAAGAACAACCTGAACATTTACTGTGGTTAAGTGCAAACAATAATAAAATAGTAAACAAAAATGTAAAATATTTTTAAAATTTATGCATTTTTAGGACGAATAAATTAAAATAATAGTTATTCTGACTCTAATGGTAAATTCTTCTGACAATGTTCCATACGAAGTTTGTATGCAGTGCGATCTTAAAAAAAATAAGTATTTCATACAGAAAAAACTCATAAAATATGTATTTCAAACATATTGCAATTAAATAAAAGTTTCACTTTAATTGTAAAAATTGAATTTCTAAAAACATTGATTCTGATTATAATAAATTAAATAAAAATACCTACCAAAGTCATATACATGGTACTTATGGTAGTTGTATGAATTGATCAAATATTTTTGTTTATTATAAATACATAATTACATTATGATTTTTAATTTTGTTTCATAATCTAATAATTAATCTGCATAGCATTTATTAAATAATGTAGCTATTATTTCCTAAAACCTCTTCAAAATTAAAAATAAAATGGTTGATCTTTTTGCTACCTGGCTGTCCCTTTTTACCCCAACTTTGGGGTGAAAAATACCATATGACAAATATTTCAAAAATAGTAATAAAACATATTTCTACAATGGTAAGATTGTTGGGATTCTACTGAATATAATTTGTTAGTTGTTTGTTTGATGACTAAGATACTGTTGGTTTGGTTTTCACAAAATAATTGTTTAAAGTCAAAATGAACTTTTGTGCCCCGCCTTACCCTACCAATAGTTCAATAATCCTTTCGAAAAAGAAGTAGTGATGTGTAAGATGCAACTTTTTCCCAAAAAAATATTTATTTAATTTTTTATTTATAAATATTCTATACCTTTTTATTTCCATTTCTTCAGAATCTATTAAAAATAAACTAAAACATTTGTTTATACATTTACAGTATTTACACACTTTTATTCTTATTTTTTGAATTGAAGTATTTCACTTTTTATCATCATGTCATTGGATGTTTATATTTTTTTAAACACTCGCTCAAAATCAAACTGAAATTGTACTACTACTAATCTGTTTCCAAAAATTTAAAGGTAAAAAGTGAATTCTAGATTATGAAAAAATATTAAAAAATAAAGTGTATAAACGTACACTACAAATTTTGTTTATTTATGTTTAATAGTTCCTGCAAAAAAGTGCATTGTAAATAGTAGAATTAAAAAAAAATAGGAAAAAGGTAGGGTTTTAGTTGTGAAAAGTAAAATTATAAATAATGTATTATTTATATATGTATATACAGGGCCAGTCCTGGGGTTCTCAGCGCCCGCATGCAAGATTTGTTTTAGCGCCGCCCCCCCACAATAATTTTAATTGTTTTAACATTTATCATTAAAATTATATAAATAATTACGTTAACTTTTTTAAATCAATTTATAATCATTCTGGATTTAGTACACAAAAATATTAATAATCGAAAAGCATATAAAATACATTGATTTTAATTTTATTTAGGAAATCGAAGCGATTTGCGGGCTGACCATAATCAAATATTTTACATTTTCAAGTCTTTCTAACATATGTGTAATATTAATATTTGGGTTTTGAAACATTTTACTTATTTTATTTTTAAACATAACACTCGTTATTTATGTCAGATTTTTTAAAATTTTATTTTAATTTTTTTTTCATTTTTCACGATATCCAAAATTGCATCGTAAACTTCTCCTTATTGATATCGTAAGGGCCGATTGTATTCATGTTTACTGTTTGTGATTGTTGTTTTTTAGTTAAATTTTTAACGTATTTTAAAAGATGCAAAGAAATTACATATTTCCTGAACTATATTGAAAACAACACACAATTATATTTGTATCTGTATTAGTTCTGCTTAGTTAATAATTAGATTTAGTACGGACAGCACTAGGTATAAATAAAGCTCACGATTTTTGTTTTTAACAATAAGTACATTTTGCTTCCATTTTTCATATTTGCTCCATTTCCATAAACCTAACCACGCATGTCTTCAACGTTAAAATTTCTCGGTCTTAATAAGACATTTTCTAAGCACTGACTTCCCATTTTCCATTTTTCTCTATTATAATTTTTATCTATTTTTTTTTAACAAGTTTCGTTTAAACTAAATCAGCTCGCAATTTTTCGTCAATAATGCCCAATAATTTAAATTTTCGTAAGTTTGCGCTTACGAGATTGAACACTAGATAATTTCTTTTTCGATTCCACATCAAATTCAAACGAGGAAAAATGTAATAAGTGCAGTAAACAATAAGCAGAACATAATTTAGTAATTTGCAGAGTAATTAATCGTTTCTACTAAACACATTGCAAACTGAATATGCTTTTTGTGTCTTTGTATCCATAGTTAAGTTTGATTCTTTATTATAATCTATTGAATATTTTAGATTTTATATTAAAAAAAATATTAATAATATATTATAAATTTAATTTCCGAATCTCGTTTTGGCGCCCCCTAAAGCGTGCGCCCGCATTTTTTGCATGCATCGCATGCAAGGCAGGACCGGCCCTGTGTATATACATGTATATGTGAAGTATTGTAAAGACGTATTGACATGCTTTTAAACAATATGATCAATTTGCAATATCATAAGAAAATATTAGAGAACTAAAAACAATGCAATTCTTTAAATGTACTTCACATCTCCAATCAAAAAAAAGCAACAACAAAAACATCAAATATAAATAATGAATCTAAATTACAACAACAATTGCATGGAACAAAAGTACGTTTTATTGCGAATGTTATTAGAAATAGAATTGATTGTTTCACGATTTTAAAAATTCGAAGTTATATACATACTAACGGAAGTATCAAATTCAATAATCAAAAACAAAAAGTCGAGGAATTAATTTACGATATGGCTAAATTCGAAGAAAATAAAATATCATATTTCTTCTTCATCGCTGCGGTAGATTGTTGCAAGAAATAGTAACATAATCTTCTCTTGGAGATTTAGAAATGATCATTTTATTTGTCAAATAAAAGTTTTGTGTTCTAGTAAAAAAAGCTTATGACGGTAAAGACCATAATAAGATTTTAAACACCGAATCCTCATTTTGTTTGACAGATTTTATATTATTGAGAAGTGTAGACTATTTTTCGCATTCTACGTATCTACATATGCAATTAATAAATGCACATGAGAATTTCCACAATTAAAATTTTATATATATATATATATATATATATATATATATATATATATATATATTTATATGTAGCAACATTAAAATAACACATGACCCTTAACGAAATAAACAGACCATGAAAACGTTTGAAATACGAGAAATAACGCTCGGTCTCTCGAATACAAATTTAATGAATTCGATGGAGGTATTCAGAAACTATGTATAATATACTAAAAATTATTTTTAATATTTCTCATTAGTTTTACATGGAATGGGTGTCGCCGGAATGTGCGCCAAACATATGTATCTGGTATTGATAATTGAGAATTATAACTACAACTATTTTTAGAAATCTTTATGTTGGTTGTTTTAAAATTAGCTCATAGATATGCGATTTTGAAGGCTGCATTATAGAAATAAGACGCTTGATAGAAACTCATAGATTTCTATTATTTTTATTTGGGTTAAAAGATTTTACAGTCAGTTTAAGTAGAATAAGAAGTGCATTTTGCAAAAATGTAGACAATGATCTTTTTTAAGCTGTTATATTTATGAACATGTTTGTGGTGGAATTTTCTTCAAAATTTCACAAATGCTATGCGTTTAATAAATATTGTTACTTTAAAAATATTTTGTAATCGATAAATTATTATATTTTGAAAATAATTAATTAGCCGATTTTTATTATTCAATGGAACTTTTTCAATTCCACTTCAGACCGAAACTCAAAAATAAAGAAACAATTTGAACAAAATGAAAAAAATATGATATTTACAAATAAATGATATTTTCTATAAGATATAAGAGAAAATACCTAATTATATAAATTTATCTATTTTGCTTAAATTTTGGGTTCATTGGTTAATTATAAATTTATGAATTTATTCTAATGCTTCATGCTAATATACATTATTGTTTAAATTTTCCTCAAGTTTTTTTAGTAATTTTTTGTAAAATTATTAAAATACTGTTTTTTTTAATTTTAATGTGTGTGTGTGTTGTATATTATCAACACAACATTATCAATAAATGTATTCATAAATTTCGACTCCGTAATCAAATTTTATAAAACCAGTTTAGTTATCTTCACATTGCTAGTGTCAAGTTTTACATAAAAACTGATATGTAGTCTGAAATAATGTGTTTTTTTT